CCCCCCCCCCCCCCCCCCCCCCTGGTTTTCTTATTTTCGCTGGTCAATAAGTATTTCTTTTCTTCAGCTTCGTATTCTCTACTTGTTTAACTTACTTTTTTCTTCCATTTTATTTCTTTGTTAGGCCCAACATTGCAGGCCTTCATTCTACAGCAACACAATTATTGGGCTAAGTGCCTACACAGTAAGGTAGGCCTTTAGAGCGCATTCTACTCTATGCGATATTGTACTGATGCGCAGAAATACCGACCGTACGTGTAGAAATGCTATCCGAAAGAAGAACCAAGGACTGGCCCCACTATTAAGTTAAGTTGGCCCGAAACCATTGGAGGCCTTAGCTTTTTAAAATCTTTCTCATGGCCCTTTACCTCCTACGAGCCCTGATTAGCTCCGTAATTAGTCGACCGAGAAGTTTCGCAAAACACAAGGGACCATCATTCAAGGTCCTTTTCTTCCCTTTGGAAAATGCTCTACGGACGCTAAATTGAAAATCTTTTATTTCAGAGAGTTGACGGCTTTGCTAATTCGTCTACTGTTTTAGATAATCTTGTTCTTTTCGGAAGAAAGTGGACATAGATATATCTCTCATCATGAAAGGATAAGGAGATCACAGCGAAGTGGTTTGAGGACTAGTTTAAAGAGCATGGGGGCCCTGTTGGTACTTTCAACAACATCACTAGGAGATGTTCCATCTCCCTCTTCGACTTGTACGTAGATGCTACTTGGGGTTAAATTTATCCAAGAAACCGTCGTCGCTACGAAGAAGATCGACCCACGAATAGAGATAGACTCTACTAATTTACTTGGATCCAAAATTTGCTCAAAAGAACTAGTTACGTAACATTTAATCACGAGTTCGAACGTACATATCGATCTAAGCATTTTTCGGTTGGTCAGGCTGACTAAATCTCATCTCATGTCTTTGTGAGTATTAAACTGAATGAATGAGAAGATGTAAGTTTCTCTCAGTCTTGACCAAATGGTACATACGCTCAATGAACGAATCATATGCACGGTAGTTGATCCAAAATGCTCCACTACTACTACTTAGTTTGTTGATAAGGAGGAGCTACAGTAGACGCCCGCATGCCATAAACTTACTTCCGGGTGGCGTGATTATGGCGGGCACCAAGAGGGAGTTTGACGAAGTCAGATTAGGTGGGACGTTTGTTGCTAGATTAAAATTCTCATTGCATATTATTTCGTTTGGCTGATTAATTAATTTGTCCACCCTGTTGCTAGTTGCTCTCCACTTCTAGAACGTGGAGTCGGCCTTTGCTTGCTTGCTACGCATTACCTAGTTTGTAAACTTGCGATTAATTATATTTGGAAAAATGCCCTTGAAATATGTTCAGATGGTACTGAATATGATTTAATCATATTTTAAAAAATATTTCGATCGTCTGGAGACTAAAATAAGAGAATACTCTGGTTCTTCGGGGTTAAGGAACTAAGGTGGCGTGTTCAACCCCGAAAACAAGCCACAGCACCTTATTAATTCCTCAGAATCATTAGGCTGCATCAAAATATGTTTATCAGAAAATATGATACCGAAATATCTTCAAAAACGCGTATTCACATTCTGAGAAATATCATCCAGGTAAAAAATATCGCACATCGCACGCAAAATCATCCAAAATCTCCGACTGTCGTTCGTAACCGACAGTTCTTTGTCCCCCGCAAAATTCATCACATGCTACCTACCATGCGAGTCAAGAGCTAATACACTGGCGAGTTTCTAAAGACCAAGCATGTTCTTCTTCTTCTTCTTCAAAAAAAAAAAAAATTTTTGGCGTAGATTGTTTCCACGTTTTTCTCGTCTTCTCCGTCAAAATTCACCCATTTTGTCACGGACTCGCAAACTTTACAGGCTCACGAAAAACATCAACATCGAAGCCCACGAACCCAATTATAAAACAGATGCGCTCACACGGGACTAGCAACGCCGTGCAACAGCGAGCCTGCGGGGCATCCTCGCTCGCCGAGACGGGCGGCAGCGTGGCCAATCTGCACATCGGGACACGGCGTTGGCGGAAAGCCAAGCGTCTGCGCACGACCGGTGGAACACGTGTCGGCACACGCGGCATCACCCCGTGCGGCCTGCCCGTCCTCAACGTCGTCGAGGCACACGCCGCCACTCCGTGCCCTCACGTGGCCCCCGTCCTCCACCCGCGGCAGCCTCTCCAGCTCCGCTGCTGAAGCCCCTTCGCCGACGCTTTCGGAGTCGTCGTCGTCGGCGGGCCCATGGAGGCTAACGCATAGAGGCAAATGTAGACTAGAAACACCGCGCTCATCCCTGCGCAGAGTAGAAACAGAGCCAAGAAAACTAACCAGAGCAGCATTTTCGGTGAATTCTGACGACGGGATGTGGGATTTTGAGGGGTTTAAATGGGAGTGGGGGTGGGGGGAGATATTTTTGCGTTGGAGTTAGTGTAACTGTGGGCTGGCGTTAGTAACGGAGGAGCGCTCTGGTAACTGGTTTTTATAGGAGAGTTGGTGAAAGAGCCGGAGAGGGGTGTGGTTTTGGGTTTGGATTCACGCGGAGGAAAGGGATGGGTTCGATTGGGAGGTGAACTGTCGCTTTGCGTTCAGGCGGCGAGAGTTAAGAGGGCTTGTTGCCTTTTTTACTTACAGGTCTTTGTTATTTATTTGATGGACGGCTATAGTTTGGTCCGAGAGAAACTAAAAGGGGTTTTCTACATAAATCACATTTAAGACGGCTGGGGATTCTATCAGAATACCTCATACAAATGGGGTGATCTATACGCCACACAAAGATGGTTAAGAGTTACTTTAGGGATTTTAGCTATTCTATTTATGGTTAAAACCATCTCATTCCTAATAGAATCATTACTGCTTTAAGACCGAGTGACAATATGAAAACTAATTTTAATATGTTAATTAATTAAAAATATGTGACTCACACATTTGTTTGATTTCCATATCAAATATTCTCTAAGGTTTTCCTTATCGTCCCTTTTGCCTCATATCTTTCTTATTTGGGTTCGAGTTAGGATTACAGTTAGGGTTTAGGTTCGGGTTAGCGTTAGTAGGTTTGGGATCAGGTTAGGGTTTGTGGTTGAGTTTAGCCTATGGTTCCGGTTCAAGTTAGGGTTAGTGTGTGTGTGTGTATACATACAGTGCGTTTCACATACGCATGAATGCGTACGCATGTGAGCACGAGGTGGGTTTTTTTACAAAACTCCAGCGCCAATTTATTCTCCAGACCTCGTTCTCTCTCTCTCTCACTCTGTGAAAAAAGTCCCAAATCC